CCCCTTTAAATGTTCCACATTTATTTCCAGTAAACTTAACTTTGTATAATTGAAAGTACATATAGTTCTGAAGGAACATTGTTACTTTCAGAGCAAAACTCTGACCACCTCATGACCTCCCGGTGATACTGGGGTGTCATATCCAACAGCCCCCCTTGGAGTGGAGCTCGCTCTGATTGGTCAGTAGTTTCACTTAAAGTCTTTCACCCAGGAAGCATTCTTTCTCTTCCTCTCTTGCGCTCTTCTCTTTTTCCATCGCTCTTGCTCTTTTCCATCTCTTGCGATCTTTCCATCTAGGCTCTCTCTATCAGATAGGAGAGCTGCACACTTTGGTCCAATGTAACAATAGCAACTGCCACACCCTGATCCAACTCAAGCTGAAGGCCTCGTCTCCCAGACGCTGCTGCACCCACCAAGGAAACTGCAAGTATCAAGCTTCTGTCTCTAAACGGGTGTTTTATGATTATTATAATTGGCCTTCTGACCAATATTCCAAATTTAACAGATTATCTGCTGCTTCGGGTGAAAAGACTTAAGTCTCCAAGCCATCACTCTGTTCCACATTAGGTTTTCACACTCATATTTCTCAACCAGTATTTTCATCATTGTTTGTATTTTATATTTTATGTTTGTTGTTGTTATTTGTTTGTTTGTTTAGTTAGTAATAAATGTTTTGTGCGTACACAGTTGTTTCCTGTGTTTTCTATAGCTTACATCCAGTCACTTTACGTATGTGATCTTTAGTTACCTTAAGCTCTAAGTTAATTCCCTTAATTTTATCAAACACTCTTGACTGAGCACCAAGAGTAAACAATTTATTAGAATTATTGTGCTGACTCTGAGATTATATCGCTGGCCGAATAATTCAAAGGTTGGTATTAATAATTTTAATTAATGCAATCACTTGCTTTAGTGTGTGGAAATAAGCACATCTTATTTTCCAAACACCTAAAACCCTACAATGTTGAAGACGTCTACTTAATTGGGATCATGATAACAGGCTTCCTGCTGTTTGGAGCTTGTGGGTTCCTGCTTTATCGCAAAGTTCGGACGACGGAGGCAGCAGTTTTGGCATTTGACAAGCTGCCCGCCATGGAGGGATTGCTTCGGGCTGTCAACTCTCAGACTCAAGCGATATGCGAACTAAATCGCAAAATGGAAGAACTGATTCGCAAGATGGATACCACCTTGGAGCGGTTGAACAGCCCGATCCAGATGTAATGGGCCATCAAATTCGGCTTTTTTGGATCACAGAGAGAACCAGTGGGACTCCAAGGACTGACGGTAAATTGCAGTGTCGGCCTCACCCAAACAATCTTTCTTTATCTTCATTCGGCTCCCCTGCCTCAGCCTTGGCCTTGGAAGGCTGATACCTCTACACTCTCCTGGATGTTATGCAGACAGATGCACAGCCCCTCCCCTACCCTACTCCTTCTCCTGTGAACTTTGTTCTGGACCAGAACTCTTCGAGGTCGTCTCCACGGCAACGGCCGTATCTCGTCACCTGCATCAGACGTCAGAGACACTGTTGAGTCTGGCTGGCGATGGAGTCCATGGACTTACACAAACACATACATGAAGACACACAACACACACACACACCCCTGGACTCAACGCCTTGGTTGGCTCTCCACCCTCCTCTCTCTCCCCGTAGCAGACCAGTATGCTGTGGGCTGATGCGACGCGCCTCGTGGCTGCGTGACGCACCTCGTGGCTGCGTGACGCGCCGTGTGGTTGCGCGCTCCCCCCAGCGTCTGGGCTGTGACACCCTCCCCACCCCAACACCCTTCCCCTCTCCCACATGCAAGTCTTGAGTTTTGTTGTGATGTTTTATCATGTGCTGATGTGCTGAGGTGTTTTTTTTTTTTTTCCCTATTCCCACACTGTGCGCTCCTACTCTCCAACGTCCTCTCCCTCAACAACAAGCTGGACGAGCTGTGTTTGCTGAGAGAAATCCGTTTTAACAGAAACATGGCTCCATGACAACATCCCAGAAGCTGGAGGGGACGACATTATTCTGGTTAGACAGACAGGCAGCTAGCTCTGGGCAGCATCTGTGGCTTCACCATCGTCACACCATCGTGTGTGTCGTTGTGTCCCTGAAGAGGTTTGCCATGTTCAACGTGATGGCGGTGCGCATGGACGCAGCAGCCCCTTCAGGAGACAGCGAGAGTGAACGTTTAGTGTCTTGCCTATCCCAGACGTGCATTCCGCAAAACGTACTAATTAAATGATCCTGAAGAAACGCTCTCTCATCTTGTCTGTACGACTGTGTATGTACAGCAAAATGAAAATAAACTTAATTTGATTAAGCTCATTTATGTAAGTGCCACAATGTTTAACGCTCTCTGAGTAACATACTTTAATGGCAAGCTCACTAAGCTCTTTGGTTTGGCAGGGCAGAAAACATTCTTATCATCCTTTAAGGCCTTTTTCACAGACAAAATTTTGGCATAAACTGTGGCAAAAGTGATTTTTCAGTTTCAGGATCTTGGTCTTGGCATCATTAATGTATTAGCCACATCTGCTTTTTTTTTACTGTGGCATGTTGAAAGGTCTGAGAATTATTAGTACACTGAAACCAGCACCTCACATACTGTACTTTCAAATATAGCTACAACTACGTTTAATCCAATTAGTGCTCTAATTAGCAAAGTGAAAACATCTGCATGAATGTAGCTTTAATACTTTTCCAGTACACACGAAACCAATATTGTTCAAATTTAATAAAATAAGATGTCTCAAAAGAAAGCGTTCAGCTTGCCCATTCCATTTTTATGTTTCAGATTTTATTTGTAAATCAAGTCATGCAGGAAAAATACTAGTGTCACAACATGCTGAAAGCTAAAACATTGTAAATTCATCTCTGCTTTTAAAGGCTCTTGCAATCCAGTTCTCAGTGTTGGTGATGGTACATTTACAAATAAACAAACTGTTCACCATTGTGATTGAAGTCATAGATGTAGGATGGGCAGGGAACCTTGGTAACCAGCCCAGGGGAGCCATGGGGCCAACAGATAAGACCGTCCCAGTCTGGGGGGCACACCTCATCTGCAGCGAGAAGAACAGAAAGTCAACATCATCTGGTAGCTGGTCACTGATTATTTTTGCTAAGAGACTGAATCATTACATTTTTATTTGAGCCATTGTTTATTTAATTTGAATTGGGACAACCAGTCTGACAAAATATTATTGGTTGCATTTAATGAGCTTCAACTTAACGCTTGCCTTATTTCTAGAGGGTTCTTTAACAAATTACATATAATTACAGAACTGATGTGAAATGTATTCTGATCATGAAAATGTGTCTTGCAGCCTCATATTTTGTGATTTTTTTTTTAAAACAACCACTGAAACAACCTTTAATAAGTCTTATGATGATATGCTGCATTGACTATGCATTACCAGCAAAACATAGACATTGTTAATTTTACAGAAGAGAGGAAATGCCTGGGCCTGTGTGGAGTTTGCATGTTCTCCCCATACAGCATGGGTTCTCACCGGGTTCTCCAGCTTCCTCCCACAGTCCAAAGATTACTTACTTGGTGATTCTAAATTATCCGTAGGTGTGAAGGTGAATGTGCTTGTTTGTTTATGTGTTGCCCTGCGACTCACAACCTATCCAAGGTGTCCCCTGCCTTCATGCAAAGTCAGCTGGGATAGACTCCAGCCCCCCCCCCCCCCCCCCCCCCCCCCACAACCCGATTTAGTGGTGTATAGATACTAAATGGGTGCTTATTTTAACTATGATTAGGAAATAACTGGTCAATACAACATGTTGTTTGTCTATGTTGGAGAGGAACAGTGTTTATGGCTGCTTCATTCTGTCACACACTGTCATGCCGTGATGAAAAGGTTGCAGTCACATAGAGGGGCAAGTCGAAATAATTCAAATACTGGAATAATTCTTGTTCACATTTTCAGACAGCTTCTCCTGGTAACAAGAGCAATATCTTCATTCAGACATTGGAGGGGATTGTGGTGGATAGAAAATCCATCTGATTAACTGGTATATTTGTGGTGAGTCAGAGTATACAGTTTTCAGCGACCGTTTTTAACCTGGTTGAACAAAAAGCAAAACTTTCTGAATAGAGAAATACTACGAGATGCACTGGACAAATAGGCGTTAAACTGACCCTTTAAAGGTCACATATGGTGAAAATCTGTTTAAATTGTGTTTTGTCCTTGTTCCACTTGAAAGTATAATATAGATGTTAAACGGAAGACATTTACTTCTGCCATTCCTCAATGCTCCCCTCAACTGTTTAGCTGCCCAACTTCACAAGTGAGTAACAATTCAAGCCAGGTGCTATGTAACACCGGACTATCCAGCTCAAAGACTCACATATATTCTTCCGGAAGAGGGACCAATAGCAGCAGCTCAATGGTTTTTAGAGAAAAACAGCCCATTTAAGAACAGATCTAAAACCAGGAGTTATACAGTCACGGTTAAATGAACTACCTTTGCAGTATTTTGAGGTGAAAAACTGAAAGACACACTGTGTAAATGTCATGGCTGCTCCAATGAAGCTCAGCATTCAGCTACAGAATTTTAATTGAATTACAAACAATTTTTCCTTACAAACCTGTAATCTGTGAGTATCAGCTGACCTGTTGAATATGTAGAAGAACAAAGAGCACTTTTTACCGCCAGATCATAACTGGTCCGGTGTTTATGAAGTTACTGTTGCTGTGCCACGTCTAAACGCACATATCACTCTTCATTTCAAGAAATATTTTTTCTTCATCTTTTAATGTTCCTGCTGCCATGTGATTCTCCAGGCATTTACATAAGCGGTGGGCAGCAAACAAGCCCTAAGTGGGTCTACTATTATTTCTTAAAATTCACAAATTACATACATTGACACCTGAATGACCTCATTATAATACTTAGAAATTGATGGAACACATTTCAGATCTGCCTTACTCACATCAACAGCTATTTTTCGACAATATGTTGTGTGGCGGATGCGACATGAGAAAGACGTGAAAGATGTGAAATACATGAAAATTGATTTGTGATGTTGGAGATCTCTATGTGAGCACATCTCTGTTGACTGAAGGCACACAGACTAGGGCTTTTGTACTCGCAAAAAATTGTGTTAGGGAACAACCTGTGCAGAAATGTAAATAACAGGAAATACTGTAAACCGCTGTTATATATACATATATATACACACATGCATATACATTTGCTACGGGATGGTTCAAAGACTCATGTGCGAGGCAACATAAAATGGCAGACAGGCAGTTTAAACAATAACAATTTATTGCTACACACAGGAAAATAAGTACAAAACTCAAGGAGGTTTGCAGGCAGGGCAAACTACACCTATTAGTGGTTGGCTGAACAAAAGAACTAAGACACGGACCCGGGTTCGGTACCACCGAGTCGGGAACCGGGAAACCAAAACTAGACTAAACAGCGGAGCAACTAAAAGAGAACACCATAAGGTGCTAACGAGGAAACTCAATAACCGAAAGGGCTAGCAGACAAAAGCCATCTATAAAGCTAGCGCTACACACAGGCAGGCGGACGTAATGCAAAGCTTGAATAAACACAAACAGAAAAGGCTAGCAGACAAAAAGCTATCTCTAAAGCTAGCACTACGCACAGACTGGCGGACTTAATTCAGAGCGAGGAGATACCGAACATACGGACAGGCAGACTAGAGAGGGGAAGCAGGGAGGAGGATAGGTGGTGCAGAGGGGTTGGCGTTGCCGCGGCGGCAGTGGAGAGGCAGACGGAGACCAGGAGCGGACGCCAGGGAATCCAGAGAGGGAAAGGTGAGCGGAGCTGGTGCTGGTGAGCTGACGGAGCTGCAGTGGTGGAGCGGCGTCAGAACAGACGAGTGGATGAGAGCGGGCAGGTGACAGGTGGAGAATCCGATTCCTAATGGCAGGAGTGGAATGGTGATGGTGGCAGAACCGGTGAATGGTTCGACGGCGTGGCGCTGGAGCATTGTCTGGCCGGAGCCGAAATACCAGCAGACCGGAGGTCGCAGCTGGAGCGGACCAATCCCCACGTACCAATCAGCAGATTGGTAACCAGACACACCTGCAAGTCTAAGGATGGCCTGGAGGCCGGTCAGGCAGGCGGGGCTGCTCAGGAGGACGGCCCGGAGGCCGGTCGGGCAGGCGGGGCTGCTCAGGAGGACGGCCCGGAGGCCGGTCGGGCAGGCGGGGCTGCTCAGGAGGACGGCCCGGAGGACGGTCGGGCAGGCGGGCAGGAGTGGGCCGGAGGACGAGACGGAGACCCTCGGGCGGCCGAGCAGGAGGCCGGCGACGGGCGAGACGGAGACCCTCGGGCGGCCGAGCAGGAGGCCGGCAACGGGCAAGACGGAGACCCTCGGGCGGCCGAGCTGGACGCCGGCGACGAAACCCATTGGGAGGTCGGCGACGGAAGAGATGGAGACCCTCGGGCGGCCGAGCTGGAGGCTGGCAACGGATGTCACTGAGGCCCTCGGGCAGTCCGGCTGGAGCCCGGCAGCGGAACCCATTAGGATGCCGGCGACGGATAAGACTGAGACCCTTGGGTGGTCGGACTGAAGACTGGCGGCGGGATCCCTCGGGAGGTCGGACTGGTGGCCGGAGACCGAGACGGCAGGATCCCTCGGGGGACCGGACTGGAGGCCTGAACAAAAGAAATAAGACACGGACCCGAGTTCGGTACCACCGAGTCGGGAACCGGGAAACCAAAACTAGACTAAACAGCGGAGCAACTAAAAGAGGACATCATAAGGTGCTAATGAGGAAACTCAATAACCGAAAGGGCTAGTAGACAAATGCTATCTATAAAGCTAGCGCTACGCACAGGCAGGCGGACGTAATGCAAAGCTTGAATAAACACAAACAGAAAAGGCTAGCAGACAAAAAGCTATCTCTAAAGCTAGCACTACGCACAGACTGGCGGACTTAATTCAGAGCGAGGAGATACCGAACATACGGACAGGCAGACTAGAGAGGGGAAGCAGGGAGGAGGATAGGTGGTGCAGAGGGGTTGGCGTTGCCGCGGCGGCGGTGGAGAGGCAGACGGAGACCGGCATCGGAACAGACGAGTGGATGAGAGCGGGCAGGTGACAGGTGGAGAATCCGATTCCTAATGGCAGGAGTGGAATGGTGATGGTGGCAGAACCGGTGAATGGTTCAACAGCATGGCGCTGGAGCATTGCCTGGCCGGAGCTGAAATACCAGCAGACCGGAGGTCGCAGCTGGAGTGGACCAATCCTCACGTACCAATCAGCAGATTGGTGACCAGACACACCTGCCTGCGTGCTGGGGAGCTAGAGAGAGAGCCAGAGAGAGAGCCAGAGAGAGAGCCAGAGAGAGAGCAGGGCAGGGGCGGAGGCTGCAGGGACATGACAACATTTGTTTTTTGTAAGTTTACTGACTATGGCTTGTATGTGTCTTTTATTTGCAACAACATATTCTCACAGTCCCACTGCCACTTCAAGTTAGGTCTGCAATGTCACATTACAAGAAAGCAGAACTGTACATGGCTTCACTCTTAACATTTAGGACACCGTTCCCCCAGCTCCAGCCCATTTGGAGACTGCTTACTTTGTCAACTTCACACAGCTGGCCAATCATAGCATAAAGTGTGTTTGACTAACTGACATTTTGATAATGCCTAGTTCCACTGACGGAAAGGTGTAGGCGATGTGTCTGTTGTTTGCTATTTGATAGAGCACAGAAATATTATCTTCTATATTCTGCCAAATGTAATGAATGCGAAATATTCATATTTGTCAGCAGAAAGCAGGAAGTCTGAATGTTAAAGAGTTGAAAATCACCAAATAAGGACAAAAGCAATTCTAAAAGTCTGAATTACAAAAAAAAAAAAAAACAGCTTCCAGTGTCTCCAGTGTGAATTTTCCTGAAATATGTTTCAATGCTCCCAATTTCCTCTCAACATAGCTTTGTAAACTTAAAAATGAAAGAATGTTAACTACGAAATAAAATCTTAAACATTTCACATTATTATGGTTATATACTGCATATCATAATATTTAGTATGTTCTTCCATATGGCAGCATGTGCACTCACAGCTTAAAACATGGAACACAGTGCATATGCTAATTCCTGGTTCTACACTGTTTTTGTTTTTTGTTTTGTTGTTGTTGTTTTGTTTTTTTAATCCTTTTCTTTTTGCCAGAAAAAGTGCTAAACAGAAACCAACAGATGTACCCACAGTCAAAGAGCACAAGTCCAGTGAATAATGTGAAAACTACTTATGGACTCTTATGATGAATGGGAGCAAAATGAGATGCTCCAAAAGTGAAATCTGCTGGTTCATCTCCTCTCTGCTCTCCCTGAAAACTTACTTAAACACTGGACCGAGCATTTCATCATGAAGACAAATAATCAGGATGGTTACAGAATTAAATCCAGTGTTTCCTCCAAGGAGCTGTGGCGGCGTAAACAAATGACACTAGACTGCAGATTTTACTTTTACAACCTATTTATTGAATGGCCAGTTGAAAATGCCTTTTTAAAGGCTGACTGTACAAATTTTAAAAATAAAAAACAAAACAATGACATTAAATAAATAAAAATAAAAATAAAAAATAATTTCTTGATGGGGCTGTAGAATCAATGGCAAAGTTTGCACCCAGGCTCAAAACAATTAATTTTTCTGGGTTTTTTATGGAAGCGCTCCAAGGGTCTGTTGTGGGGAAATTCTCGGAGAGGTAGCCGCTGATGCTCAGTAGCGTATATGATGCAAGCTGATCCCCTGCAGCTTGTTTATCAAGTCAGTCTTCACCTACAAATAGAAACAATATTGACATTGTTTCTCTCAGTTTCCTACACCCTAATCATTTAAAATTGTTTCTAGTTTGTGTCTGATAATATATTAATAAATGTCTGCTGCTGTCCACTGCTCCTCCCTGTCTAATGTTAATTGTTACAAGTGTTTCTCAAATAGGGTGCGATGCTGGGGGGGCGCGTCTGACCCCGGGGCAGTGTTAATTTTGTCAACGAAAACTCAAACGAAAACTTTTAGTTGACAATCCATTTTTCCGTGGCTAATTTGTGACGACAATGTAAATTTAAGAAGTACTGACAACAAAGCCTAAAACGATATCTCTGTTCATTATCAATTGACGAGTAAAGACGTGATGAAAAAGATGATGCTGGCCTGCTGAACAATCTAGATTACAACCATCTTCTATGCAGCCAGTGTTTCTCAAAGTGTGTGGCGCCCCCCGGATTCACATTTTAACAGCCATCACAGTTTGTCTAAAAACATGATGGCCAGTGGTATGAATATTTAAAATGCGCTCAGCTCGTACAAAAGTCCGTTCATTAAAAAATATTACAAAAAAAAAACTCTGCTAAAAACTCTGCTAATAGAAGACTTTTCAACTTGGGCAAATTAGTGTAGAACTCACTTTCCACTGTTTTCCAACAAATGTTTGGTCGCTGACCTGTCAGAGACACTGCCCTGCAGACACCTGGTAACATCTACCGGAGCAGCATGTGAGGCGTTCAGGGAACATCGGTAAAATGTAGCATCTACCGGAGCAGCATGTGAGGCGTTCAGGGAACATCGGTAAAATGTAGCATCTACTGGAGCAACATGTGAGGCATTTAGGGAATATTAGGGAATATCTGTAAAATGCACCCATGGGCACTTTCAGCGATTTTTTAGCCTGTCTCCAGTTATGACTGGTACTAGAAGAGTATTGGTGACAAAATAAATATATTTTAAGGTTAAAACATTTTACAAATATCTAGTCTTGTATCACTGAAGATCAATGCAACATAACTAAGTTATGCAGAAACAACTATTCATCGGCTGCATGGTGCATTAATAGCTGTGGCAATGCTGAACCAACAAAAATAAGGGAGGAGGGCAACCAGATCATTAGCTGGTGCGACCAATGAAGAAAGTTAGTAGAACCATGCTACCACTGGAAAGGTTAGTCGGGAGCCCTGTAACAGAATCGCAAGAAACCACATCCAACAGCTGAGGATCTCATACTCCCCACTGCTATGGTGTCAACAATGACTGATGAGACTACCATCGCAAAACTCAAGGCTGACTCAAATGATCAGCTCATCATCAAGCTCTGCAGAAACCTGATAACGATCCTGATCATTTGACTCAGGTGTGTTGGAAGAGGGAAACATCTAAAACATGCAAGCTTGTGGCCCTCGAGGACCAGGATTGGACACCCCTGTCCAAGACGACCCTCCTCTGACTCTCTGACCTGGAGCCTGGTGCTGGACGTGACATCACTTTCAAGGTCGTGCTCTCACGAGTAATTAACGTCGTATTAACCTGCCAAAGAGAAGCGACTGAGCTAGTTATCTGTCGTTTACCTTAGTGCTCACGAGTACCGATCCAGTGCAGGACTCTGCTGTAAAGGTAGAGACGTGCCGGTGCGACAATAAAAAATAAAATAAAAAATAAAAAAAATTTGAAGGATTTCAAAGGTGGCTAGGATTTAGGAATGGTGGCCCACCACTCCTAAATGAATGAAGAGGAAACACTGATATCTGTGTCAATATAATCCCAAAACTTTTAAATAGCAAACAAAAACAAGACTTTGGGAGAGAATTGAACACATTGCAAGCAAAAAAAAAAAAAAAAGTCATCCAAAAGGTTAAACTTTGTTGATTATATATCCTTTTGTTTACATTTTACTTTATTATTTTTATCTCATTGGTCAGACTTTTGCCCTCATTGTTGGGGGGTGTACGCATTAAGGCTCCGACGACAGGCTGGAGTGACACACATGCTGCATATGGATACTAAGACCAGTTTCTATGTTTGGGTTAGTGGTGACGGCTCCGTTTCCGCGGCGGCACCGGCAGCTGCAGTATTCGGAGATCAAGTTTGATATCCCGATTCCAGTCAGCTATTTGGGTCCAGCCCTACATATGACATGGTATTGCTTCCACGTGAGCATGCACAAACTTCAGATTCATTCAAATATGCAGAATTGTGTAATTGTTTTACAGAAATATAACTCTGAGTGTAGCTTTTGTACCTGTGGTCCCTGGATCAATGTTGGAGAGGTTCTGGTAGCACTGCATTTTGATTTCATACAGGATGTACATCTGCTCCTGCGCAGAGAGAGACCCATCAAAGCCCATCTGTGGAGTACAATAAATAAGATCAGTTCTGTGACCCTGTGTGCATAAATTACCAACTGCTTGAATTTTTTAATGACATTTGGGACATCTTGCCATCTACCATCTGCTGTGGGATAGGCCAGCAGTTGTGGCTTTCAAGTTGAGGATAACTATGACTGGAAAAAAAACAATGGAAGAAAGCAGCAAGAAGCATTTTGTTGCACAATTCTCATTTCCATGCTCAAATATTGTGAAATTTAGTTCTGGATATATGTAAATATTTGTGTATTTTACCATCGTAGAGCAGATTATTCATGCATTTATTTAATTTGTGATCATGTAATGTTTAGTGTTCATTCACCTTCCATTCCCCTGCTAAATCTGGGACCATGCGGCACTTCAAACATTCTCACCTACAGTATGTGTAACAATATTGTTTTCTAAAATTAGTAGTGACTATTGCAGTCTCACAGCGTTGCTTGTTTGGTTTCATAGACTTGTTATATTACAAAACAATTACAGACTGCTAAATTAATTATTTAGATGGGTAAATTGTTTTCCAGCTAAAGCCCCATAAAATTGGTTTGTTGGACTCAAATTTTTTTTTCACATAACACCAAGCAAACAGCTTTTGGCTTTTATTATCACTTTTAAAATTTTCATATTCAGCCGTGACTCGATTATGCGACACTAAATGTAAAACCTTCTTTTTAAAGTTTTTTTTTTTGCCTTTATTGTACAGGGAATAGGGGGAAGGACTTGCAGCAAGGGGCCATGAGCAGGATTCGAAACCATGGCCACTAGCATCGAGGTCTATAGCCCCTGCACATGGGTCACCAGCTCAACCAGTTGAGCTATAGCAGCAGCCCGTAAAACCCTCTTTTATTTCAGATAGCAAGGCTGTCAGATTGGGGGTGCGCTCCGACAGGGTGGAAGTGGCCAGAGCGCACAGGCTACTGATGCCAGTTTAGTTTGAGGTCACACTTCAGTTTCCACCATCAGTGGCGGCTGTAGTTGTAGGAATATTGGACTACGCGTCCCACAATGCTTTGTACCTACTTGTGGTGAACAACTTTCGGTTACTCAAGAAGAATAACAACATCAGTCCAACATGTCCCGTGTCTTTATTATACATGGTGTCAGAAGTGGTGAACTGCAAGTCTCCGCGGCGTTTTTGGGCGCAGTACACTGCAGCAAACTGGCAGAAGAAGTTTTCGTGCAGTTTATACCGAAAACGACATGCTGATAAGACAAGACAGGTTACTCCGGTGCCAGCTGTTAGCTGCACAAGCGCTGCTAGCATACGGCCCACTCGGCACATGTTGGCAGAAGGAGCAGTGCAGAGAGACAGCGCATCAAACTCCGATCCTGAAAGTGAAGAGGAATCCAGGGATACGGCAGCAGAGATGGCGACCATTGTGCAGTGGACTCCCCCGGAGCCATTTGATTTTGCATGCCCGGCAGAATGGCCAAAGTGGATCAGAAGATTTGAAAGATTTTGCACTGCAACAGCTTTACACAGTAAAACAGAGGAGTATCGAGTCAGTTTCCTCCTGCATGCAATGGGAGCTGTTGCTGCTGATGTTTTAGCAGTTTTACCATTAATGGCTGAGGATAAGAGGAAATATGAAGCAGTCAAAGCAGCATTTGAACAACACTATGTGGAAAAACACGTCATCTTTGAGAGAGCCCAGTTTACCTCCAGACGTCAACGGGATGGTGAGAGTGCAGACTCATTCATCACAGCTGTACGCAAATTAGCAGAAAACTGTGGACTTGGGGTGCTTAAAGAGGAACTGATTCGGGACAGAATTGTAGTTGGAATTAAAGACAAGAGACTGTCAGAACAGCTACAAATGGACTCAGAATTAACACTTGCTAAAGCCATTGAAAAAGTCAGACGGAGTGAAACTGTGAAGAAGCAACAAACAATACTACACAGCAATGTACCCAGATGTGTTTCAGAGTTTAGGCAAGTTGAAAGAGCCCTACCACATAGAGTTAGAACAAGGAGCCATACCTGTAGCTCTTTCTGCCCCATGACGTGTCTCTCTTCCGCTCAGAGATGCAGTTAGGGAAGAGTTGAACAGAATGAAAGAGCTGGGAGTTATTTCAAAAGTCACTGAACCCACAGAGTGGTGTTCGGGCATTGCTGTCATCCCCAGACCAGCTAAAAAGCCACCTAAGATATGTGTGGCTCTCACACCCCTGAATTTGGCAGTTAAAAGGGAACGCCATATTCTCCCAGCAGTGGATCAAACCCTCGCTATGATGAATGACGCCAAAGTCTTCACAAAGTTAGATGCTCGCTCCAGATCCCTCACACCAGAGTCACGGCCCCTCACAACCTTTACCACGCCTTTTTGGAGGTTTCAGTTCAACCGTCTTCTCTTGGGCATAGCATCAGCGTCCGAGCATTTTCAAAGGAGAATGCTGCAGATGCTAGAGGACTTTGAGGATGTAATCTGTCATGCTGACGCTGTGCTTGTGTATCTGTGAGGCAGGCGGGAGCACGACCAGAGATTGCATCGTGTGCTCCAAAAGGAGGGCCTCACTCTCAATGACAAGTGTATTTGCCAAGAATGAGATCACGTTTGTTGGACACAAACTGTGTGGAAGATGTCCGGCGTCTCATGGGAATGGCCAACTACCTCGCCAAGTTCAGTTCAATTCAATTTTATTTGTATAGTACATATTTACAACAACAAGTCATCTCATAGCGCTTAACAAAGGCAGAGACAGAAACACCCAACAATCCAAAACATTTGGATTCCCTATAAGCTTCAGCAGTCCGAAAGCCAGTTCATCCCTCAGCTAGCTGCTTAAGGAGCTGCAAAAAGAGTGAAACGAGTGGATATGGGCAGAGCCACAGGAAACAGCGTTTCAGAAAATAAAAGAGATACTAAGCTCTCCAGAAGTGCTTACTCAGTTCTCAAACACAGCAGATATGAGGGTTGCTGCGGATGCATCGGCATAAGGAATCGGAGCCGTACTCACACAAAAGCAGGCAAACGGCCTGTGGCGACCAGTAACTTACATTTCAAGAGGACTAACAGACACTGAGAGGCGCTATGCGCAAATTGAAAAGGAGGCGCTTGCAGTCACAGGAGCCTGTGAAAGGCTTTCATCCTATCTCATGGGGCTACAGTTCACATTGATCACAGACCACAAACCTCTGGTCCCTCTTCTGAGCAGCAGAGGCTTGGACGACCTTCCTCAACGCATCCTAAGACTCAGGCTTAGGCTGCTCCGCTTCTCATTCAATATCGTCCATGTCCCAGGAAAAAAACCTTGTCACAGCTGACGCCCTGTCATGCGCTCCAGTGGGAGGTCCCTCAGCAGGAGCTCTTCAGCTGGAGAGAGAAGTAGAGGTTTTTGTGGACACAGTTGTCTCCTGTCTCCCTGCCACGGACAAAAGGCTGGAGGAGATAAAGTTAGCACAACAATGGATGAAATGTGTAGAAAAGTGAAGGACTATTGTCATACAGGTTGGCCAGAGACAGGCAAGCTCGTTCCAGATGTCAAAGCATACTGGCAATACAGGATGGACTGACATGTCGGTCACGGCTTCCTCATGAAAGGAGAAAGATTTGTGATCCCACCACCTCTGTATTGCAACATCTGCATGAAGGCCATCGAGGTATTTCCAAAGGCAGGGCCAGAGCTAAGGAATCAGTCTGGTGGCCAGGCATCTCCGCGCAGATAGGCCAGATGGTGGGAGATTGTTTAACATGTCAGAAATACAGGTTACAGAACCATTGTTGTCCACTCCTCTTCCAGACCTTCCATGGCAGATGGATCTTTTTGAGTGGTCAAAGAAACAATACATTTTGATTATAGACTTCTTCTCAAGATATATTGAAGTGGCACAGCTCAAATACACGTCAGCAGAGGTCACAATCAAAGCTGTCGAAGGGCGCCCCTATAGCTCACCTAGTTGTGCAGGTGACCAATGAACAGGGGATTTGTTCCCCAACGCAGTGGTTGTGGGATCAACTCCCACTCACAACCCTTTGCTGCAGGTCTCTCCCCATTCTCCTCCCCCCTTTCCTGTCTATCTCTACTGCGCTAAATAAAGGCAAAAAGCCCCCCCCCAAATTTTTAGTTTTTTTTAAAAAGCTGTCAAAGAGGCATTTGCAAGACATGGAACTCCTGAAACTGTGGTATCAGATAACGGACCGCAGTTTTCATCAGAACAGTTGAAGTAGTTCGCAAAGGAGTACCAGTTCTCACATGTCACAAGCAGTCCCAGGTACCCCCAGGCCAACGGGGAGGCCGAGCGTGCTGTTCGCACTATCAAGGACCTGTGGAAAAAGGACGACTTTAACAGAGCGTTGCTGGCATACAGAACTACCCCACTGGAACACGAGTTTTCACCAGCTCAGTTGCTGATGGGGAGAAACCTCCGTACCACTCTACCTCAACTCACAATCAAGCTGGATCCTAAGTGGCCGGACCTGCTAGCCTTTCGCAAGAAGGAGAAGGGATGGAGGTGCGAGCAGGCAAAACACTACAACCGGAGACATCATGCTAGACCACTCCCAAAACTAGCACCAGGACAGAAAGTTTGGATTACTACTAAGGGACTACAGGAGAAGTCGTTAGACCCACCAAAACTCCCAGATCCCATGTGGTACAGACCGACAGGTGTGTCCTGAGGAGGAACAGGAGGCACCTTAGACCTACAGTGACTATTACAAGATCTGGTTGAGTTGTGAGACCTCCTAATAAATTAGATATGTAAACGATGATTCTAATATTGTTAAAAACAAGAACGTTTGCTATGTTGTCTAAGCATTTGTTAAAATGTTAAAAATGAGTATATACAGCACTTTAATGTTTAAGCTGTCACTTTATATATGTTTACCTGACGAAGCACAACTTCAGCTAAAAGAAGGAGGTGCAGTAGTAGGTATATTGGACTATGCGTCCCACAATGTTTTGTACCTACTTATGGTGAACAAATTCCGGTTACTCAAGAAGAATAACGATATCAGTCCACTGTGTCCCGTGTTTTTATT